TTCAGACTGTGCACAAAATCAAATGGCAACAGATTTGGTTGCTCTGCAATGCATACATTGCCCTTGTTCTCTAAGAGGGAGATTAAGTTTCTAGCAGGGCTTCGACCCATAATTTTTCCCATTCACCGTAACTTTAAAAATACGAATCTGTTCCAATGACACTTCCTTGGCCATGACTGACCCGGGCAGAATCATTTGGAAGCCCTGCTTTGAAAAGCCATAATAAATAAAGAGTGAAATTAGGATTCATTTAAAAATGTAAGAATTTGTTTTTAAATTCTCTAACGTGTCATACTTTGAAGACACTGATTTTAAAATATTAAAAGGCTAAAAACCTAAATGCAACTTTCAAGCATATATAAAGAAATATCTCAGAGGTACTTATAAAAGAATGTTGTTGGCATTAGTAACACTGCTGAAATATACACCACAAAAAACAAGTTTAGCAGGGCCAATTATTTAACTTTGGAAAATCAAATTATCGAAGACTAAGATGCTCATACTACTGCTACAATCACAGGTTATCCAAGGAGTAGCCTGGAATTGTTGCTCCAGAGTTGGAAATCTTGTTTCTGATTCTGACTCATAGCACTGAATAGCTGCGTGATCTTGACCAACCTTGACCTCTCTGGACATTGGCTTCTCTTCTACGAAATGAAATTTCCAGGGTCTCTTTCAGCTCTAAATCTTTTATCATGTCATTAGATGACAAAACAAAGTTAAGGAGATTTGTTTTAGGAACTAGATTAAATTTTTACCTATGTAATCATGTGGTCTGCTTTCATATGTTTTGCTTAATTTAAATAATCTCTTTTGCCCACCACAGAATTCAAATATAAATTGTATACTGACTGTATCAGCCCAGGTGTTTGCCAGTCTTATTTTATCAGTCTTTTCTATAAACCAAATCAAACCCAATCCATTGCCGTTGAGTCAATTCCGACTCATAGCAACCCTACAGTACAGAGTAGAACTGCCCCATAGGGTTTCCAAGGAGCAGCTGGTGGATTCGAACTGCCGGCCTTTGGGTTAGCAGCCATAGCTCTTAACCACTGCACCACTAGGGCTCCATCTTTTCTGCAAGGCAGTTGAAATCATATTAAAGTAAAAATTATTAACAACTAAGAGCTAAAATAGTCTACTATATGGTTATATTATTGATGTTTCTTAGATTTTATGGCAAGCCAAGGTCCAAAAACATTTTCTGAAATTCTGTCATAAATAAAATGACCTCCGACTTCATCTCTCCCCACACCTTGTGTAAAAATGGCGTGGTGGGGGCATTTCAAGAGGGGTGAGAATCAGAAGCAGGAGCCTAAGGTTGATCTCTATGATGTGGAGGTCAAACATACCTCCACCCTCCAACCTTTTCACCAATTCTGATACCAGCTGTGCCTCCCACTGCACTCTTTATTTTTCTCTGCTCGATTCAATAATTCGTTGCAATGGCCACACAGAATTCACAGACCATACTGACAGTTATGAGATTTATTAGGGAAGTAACATTTTACAACTCAGGATCAGGAACGACTCAGGATACAATTCTTCAGTCAGGACAGCTTCTCAGCCATGCCTACAGGCAGGCCTCTCTGTCTCTCTCGGCTCTTGGCCCCTTTGTCTGGCCTCTGCCCTGCTTGGGCAAGTGTTACAAATATCTTCAGCTCCTCCAGTTAAGTACCTGGAGGCACCCTACACTGCCAGTAAATCTTGGCCCAAAGGCACTCAGCTCTCACTCTGTTGGGTCGGCAAGCCTAGTTCCGCCAACAAATGCCTGGAGGCATCCCACTCTGCCAGGAAGCCTTCTGCCCAAAGGCTCTCTCAGCTCTCTTGCTCGCTCTGTGTGTCAGCATGCCCACTGTAGCAGCCTTGTCCCATGGGCCGGGGAGCCCATCATGCTCTCTTATGCTGGTCTCCTGGTTCTGCTGCTGCCGTTTCTCACTATCTCGAACCATCTCCAGTGTTACAGCTCTCTCTCTCTCCACTTGTCTCCTGGGTCTAGGAAGTTCTCAGCACAGGGAACCCAACTCCAAAGGACACTCTCCACTCCCATCTCTTCTTCTTGGTGGAAGTGAGGTCCCCTCTTTCCACCTCTGGGATGGCTCATTTTAAGCTTAGTGGGATGGCAAAACTGACCAATCCCCTTGTTAGGGTTCCATACCTTATTTGCACAGTCCCACCCATACAAGGGTGCCATGAACCTTATTTGCATTATTAGCAAGCTGTCCAATCCCCTTGGTGGGCCACAAGGACCTTATTTGCACAGTCCCACCTAATCATTTGGTGGGACTTGCAAGACGGTGGTAAGAAAAACCATATAAAAGTGATCCATCATACCATACCCTGACTGCCACGCTGAAGAAAATTTCTAATAAATAAATGAACTATTTTCCAACAATGAATATTGCTGAGCTCTCATACTCCACAAAGATGTAGTTTTCTATTTTTAAAATTATCACTGGTGTCTATATACGTGTTTAATGTCACCTCTAAGTTATAAAACCGAGAGAGGATAAAACTATTGTGCAAAATGAATTAAAAATAAGCATCTCTAAATAATACAACAATCAATGACATGAGACCATTTACCTGAACAAACAAAGCAATGATAGCAATTCCATGTGGTTTCCCCACAGCCTCATCAATACTGCCAAACAGGGTGGAGTTCCAGTGGATTAGATGGAGCTGGAATATCAACAATGACAGGTATTAATGCTTTTTAACTTAGAAAAACAAAGATCTATCAACTTTACCGCAACTATATTTATACAATATCATATGCTACACAAAAGTATCACAAAAACCAGTTGTCCGGTTGACTCTGGCTCATGGCAACCCCATATGTCAGAGTAGAACTGTGCTCTGTAGGGTTTTCAATGGCTGATTTTTCAGAAGTAGATCACCAGGCCTTTTTTCCAAGGCACCTCTGGTAGACTTGAACTGCAACCTTTCCATTAGCAGCCAAGTGCGTTAACCATTTGTAGCACCCAGGGACTCCAAGAATATCAGAAATAGACAACAAATAAAACTATTGTCTTAACAGGTTCTGTATGAATTCCTTCCTTCTTATTTCTGAAAAGAAGCAACACTTGGTGGATAACTGCTTCTCAAGTCCAGCTTTCATCTTGATCAAGAGCATATCCAGGGTGACATGAAGATTTCAAACCAATTTAGTTGCCTTTCCTTAAATGTTATCCCTGCCCCAACCCCCATCCCACAAATATCAATGGAACAAAACTCCAGGTCTGGATACAAACACCAGAACTCATTCAAATACTGCCTATTCAAATACTTTCTCACCCAGTATTTCTATCTAGAAATTTACAAAGCCAGTCTCAAATCCTGGCAAATTATTTCAGCTCTCCACAAAAATCCAGAGACAGCATCCTATAAAAAAGTATAGTACTTTTTTTAAAAAAAGCTATGGTAAAATAATGAATGCCTATGTAAATCTCTAAAATGCCATTTCCTGCACTGGAGCTGAATTTCCTTCCGTGAAGAAATGACAGACAATGCTCCAAACAACCCCCTCACTCAGAGATCACTTCGTCAGGCTTTGTAGCGTCCAAGTTTATCTAGAATATGCACTTGCGCCTACAGCACTGATAAAAAACTTGCACAAAGCCAAATTCAATTCCCTGGATAAAAATCAAGTGGCCACTGAGGTTCTTATTATAAGAGTAGCTATAAGAAAACCTTCTGCCTAGAATGCTATTTTTATTACTACAGCTTTTAATCCAGTTAAAATTACTTACTACATTAAAAAACTGCCTAATTTAACAATTAGTTCTAATCCAAGAAGACAAAGCCAAGATTCGATCACCATATCATTTTATCATACTAAAATATTCAGGAAAATCATCATGAGGATTGACAGAAATATTTCCTTTTTCTATTGCTGAATTTATCCAACTAGAATTCGAGAGTGTAAAACTGACCACTAGAGGGAGCGCATAAAGTCCTCTCACCACACTAGAAACAGTAGCAGGGAAAAGACTAGGTCAGGCTGTAAAAAACTCACGTGGACTCTAAGCACCCAGTAAGTGCAACTGTCAAGGCACTGCCTTTACAAAGACAACGTTCTATAACCTTTTGATTAATAATGAAAGACATACCAATTTTAATCTCTCCTTCTCTGACTGTAACAACAGCATGGGAGACCTACTGGTATAGATAAGAACTGATTGTCTTAATTAAATCAACAAAGGCGGCCTTGGCCCAAGGTTGAAATATATTTTTATTTGACAAATTACAAAGTTCAAACTGACATTTTTCTAACTTCTTATAGCAACATTATGGGGCGCTTTTTTCTACCTGAAACAAACAACTAAAAATGTACAGCTTTTTTGGCTACTCCTCACCATTCAGCGATGACATCATCGCTCACACCTGCTCTTCAAAAACAGCCTCACTTCTTTTGTGTGTTTAAAAAGTTAAAGACACCACTCCTTAAGTGTGTGCTGCACATGTGACTTCCTTCCAAAGAGTAAGCATGGAAGCGGGAGGGGGAGAGTAACTTTACAGTGGTAATGACAAACACTACCTCAAGCCAGGTAATCCAGGTCAACATCAACAGTGATTGTGATACTGATAGTATGTACCATTGATACAAGGAGCCCTGGTGGCACAGTGGTTAAAGCGATCGACTACTAACCAAAAGGTCAGTGGTTCCAAACCACCAGTGGCACCTCGGGAGAAAGACTGCTTCCACAGGGATTTGCATCCTTGGAAACCATATGGGCTGACTATGAGTCAGAATCGACTTGACAGCAGTGGGTTTGGTTTTTTGGGTACCCTTGACATGCGCGCAGCCCTGGTGGCACAGTGGTTAAGAACTTGGCTGTTAACCAAAAGGTCGACAGTTTGAATCCACCAGCTGCTCCTTGGAAACCCTACGGGGCAGTTCTACTCTGTGTAGAGGGTGTCTATGAGTCGTTTGGTTTTGATATGTGATGAAAAAAGGGCACTTCAGCTCCTCCCAATACTCTATAACCCCAGTCTAATCATGAGAGCAACATGAGACAAACTTCCAGTAGGGCATCCTACAATACACCTGACCAAACCAAACCCAAACCCATTGGTGTCAAGTCAATTCCAACTTATACTGACCCTACAGGACAGAGCAGAATTGCCACACAGGGCTTCCAAGGAGCAGATGGTGGATTTGAACTGCCGACCTTTTGGTTAGCAGCCAAGCGCTTAACCACTGTGCCACCAGGGTTCCAACACCTAACCAGTACCTCTCAAAACTGTCAAGAGCATCAAAAACAAGGGAAGTCTGAGAAACTGTCACGGCCAAGAAGAGCCCAAGTAGACAATTATATGTTATCCCTGGATGAGATCTTGGCACAGAAAAAGACATTAGGTAAGAACTAAGGAAATCTGAAAAAAGTGAAGACTTTAGTTAATAATAATGTATCAATATTGGTTCATTAATTATAACAAACGTACCATACTAATAATGTAAGATGCTAGAATTGGGAAAACTGGGTGTGGGGTATATGCTCTGTACTACCTTCACAATTTTTCTATAAATCTAAAACTCTTTTTTTTTTCTTTTTTTTCAAGTCATCTATTTTTTTTTTTAAAGTAAGTAAGTAAAATTAAGGGAAATGCTGGCACTTCGGCCAACCCAAGCTAAAAAGGATAGTGGAAGATCTCTGTGACCCCTGGTGTGGCTAACACGGTAACACAAGCTGAAAATAACAAGAGACCCTCTGCCATCTGTTGTTCACTTTACCGTTTGGTACTTAAATCCAAAAGGTCAGCAGTTCAAATCCACCAGCCACAACTTGGAAACCCTATGGGGCAGTTCTACCGTGTCCTTTAGGGTCGCTATGAGTCAGAATTGACTCAATGGCAATGGGTTTGGTTTGGTTTTAACGGGTTCTTAAATACAGGTATGTGCTGCATAAAGTCCATTAGGGCAACATCCCACTGCATATACATCTGTGGTCCCATTAGGTTATAACAATAATTTTAAAAAACAGTTGCCATTGAGTTGATTCTGACTCCTAGCAACCCTACAGGATAGAGCAGAACTACCTCATAGGGTTTCCAGTGAGTGGCCAGTGGATTCAAACTGCCGACCTTCTTATTAGCAGCCAAGCTCTTAACCACAAGGTTGTAACAGAGTTCAGAAATACCAATCGGAGAATGGGACGTAGCAGACGTACTTTGCTAAGTACTGTAGATCCTATCTGTCTCTCACTAGCTCTCCGGGTTCACGTCAGCCCCCGTCTTGGAGTGGCAAGGAGAGGGGGTCCCTGTGCCCATGTGTGGCTACCTGCCCTACTGCACTCGCCTCAGGCAGGGACTGCGAAGACACGGCTGAAGCTACTGAGGGAGATGCCCTGCGAGGCTGCTGCCCCACCTGGCCAGGGCGTCCTTCGAGTCACACCCAGGGCTGGAGGAGTTTAAAGCCCATTGGGCAGGTGAAGCAACAGCGATGCAGGTCCCAGACCCGCCTGGTAATCGTCCCGTGTGCCCATCTCTGGTACATATAATATGGTGTTCACACAATGTCCAAATCACATAATGTCTTATTTCATAGATCATATACGGACATTAAGTGACGCATACCTGTAATCACCTGGAGCTGGTGGTTTAGGAGCAGAACAGATCTTCCCTCAGCGTTGACAAGCTAAGTTTTAAAAACAAAGCTTTGTCCTGGTACTGAGAAACTCTCGTCTTGGAGGAGCTTTCTCTCATTTTAAGATCAAACAAAATATCATTAAAGCTCCCCTCTCTAAAATACTGTAGGATGGTTAATTCAAGTACCAGGCAAATTTCCAAAACATTCTGGAATTCAGCCAACCTGCCAGTTGCAACCTAGTAGTAGGAACTCAGATGCATGATCTGAGGGCACAGCACGCCTGCATCTGCTCCTCCTAGCTTCAGCTTTCTCTGCTCCCCAGCCCTTTTCCACCCTCCACCTCCCCCACCCTGTCCTTTCTCCCCATCTTAATGAAGTTTTTTCAGACCTCAAAAGCTTGAATTATTCACATTTACTTCTGTTCTCCCTGAGCCCCTTCATTCCTATAATCTCATCACATTTTACCTTATATTAGTGTTAGTTTGATTCCATAAAGCAAAGCCGAACAGGCAGGAAAATGATGGTGAATTAAAGAGCTGAATTACCTGTGTGGTAGCTGGAGGGTACATAAGTTTGACAGTGACAGGCAATGGGGTTGGAAAAGTACATGGGGTCACAATACACAGGGCTTTAAATTTATTATAACTGTGTTCTGGGAAACACTAAAGCAATATATTATTCTAATGTATATTATTATTACTTATACTTCCTAGATTCAATCAAACTCATCCCCCATACAACCTCTTTCCTTCAGAAGTCCTTTCGGCAGTACAGAGGATGGACTGAGGGAGTAGACCTTGGAGGCTGGAAGATAACCTAGACTACTGTGGTGGTTCCAGCTAAAAAATTCTAAGAGGTGTGCAAACAAAAAAGTTTGGAGACAAATGGAGCAAGATCAGTAGCAATGGGAATAAAGAGAAAAGGCCCTAACAAAGTGACAACATTTGGTACTTATTCTTCTAATATTAAACACGGTCCCTTGGGAGGGGTGGGCGACAAAATAATCCACTGATGATCAGAAAGAAAATATGAAAGCTTCTATTTATATTGATTTGTATCTAATTCCATTTTATATCAATTTTTCTATGCT